TAACTTTTCACATTTGCTGCATATGTTGTTATTATCACCACCATTATTGTTTTTGGTCATTACTATTTTGATTGTTGTTTCGGAAAAGTTTAGTTATTTGGAAGTGATGTCATAAAATTTGGCCTGATCTATGTGTTTGTCTCTTAGAGCTTATAAAGGTTTTGTTGACAACCCCATTGTGCTCCAGAGTTTGGCCGTTTTGATTGGTTTGAGTCGGTCTAGACGAAATGTTCAAAATCCGCTTCAAATCTTGGTTAAGAATTGGCAGAGCAGCTAATTTCTTGTATTATTATAATTCATGCAGGCATTAGGAATGAGGCTTCTGAGAAAAATCGACCGTCCAGAACAAAAGGTAATAATTACACGCTTGAATGAATATACTGCTTCATGCGTTTCTTATCTTTCAATTTAACTTCGAGTTTAAAATTGGTATCGCTTGCAGTACACATTAGCCATGATGGGATATGCTGAAGAACACGAGACGACTGTTTTGGAACTTACGTATAACTACGGTGTAACTGAGTACACAAAAGGAAATGCATATGCACAGGTTCGCCAATAAAAAGCTTTTGTCAATTACATACTTCTCGGAAATCATTTTTTTTAAAATATTATTCTCATTGTGTTCAATATCTGTCTTGAGTTTTAGGTTGCAATTAGTACTGATGACGTGTATAAGAGTGCTGAGGTTGTGAACCTTGTGATTCAAGAGCTTGGAGGAAAGATAACTCGACAGCCCGGCCCAATTCCTGGAATTAACACCAAAATCACGTCATTCCTGGACCCTGATGGGTGGAAAATTGTAAGTCTCCATTACCCACCATAGAACAATGAGTTGGATTATTCCGCACTCGATCTTTAACTGTCTATTTCATACTATTGTATTAGAAATGGTTTTCCTGGCATTGCATGCTAGGCCTGGCTTTGCTAAATTGTGCCCTCGAATTATTTGCTACTGTTGCCAGTAACAGAAAATATTCGATTCGCTGAAAAGCTGTTAACAAATTTGGAAACTTTTTGTGGTTCTTTTTCTTTTTTTCTTTTTTTCCCCCTTGGTTAAGCTTTGAGGTTGTCTTACCTTTGCTGAAGCCTTGTTTTTTTTTTGGTTTTTTTGTTTTTATTTTTTTTTTCTTATGGTGTATATGTAGGTTCTGGTTGACAATGCAGATTTTCTCAAGGAACTTGAGGCAAAAGAGTAGGGCAAAATAATCTGGAGATGATGAGTTAAGTTTGTTGTTTCAAAATTCTGGTTAATAATGTTGTTACAATTATAAAATGGATATGTGGTCCATATACTTATTATCGTCTGAGTATGATCCCTGTAGCGCTCCTTTCGATTGATATGATTTCTCGCATTTTATTTTAATCATATGTATTTTATTTTATTTATGTGCTGCAATTATTTGTCTTTTACGTGCAATGCTTGATATTATTCTTATATGCGTGGATTGGACTTATAAATTGCTTACTTGTGTTTCATAATACTATTTATTGCTTCTACTTCATTATTTATTTCTTTGCTCGTTTATTATTATTCATTGCTCGTTTATGCTTTATATAATTTTTTTTGCTTTATTCTTGAATTATTTAGTGATGAATTTAATTGTTATTTCATGTTCATGGATTAGTTAGAATTATTTTAGTTATTAGATTAATTGGTCGGCAATTACCGGTTCAATCGCGTAGAACCGTTTTAGATTCGCTTCGACTTGTTTTAGAGTCATTTTAATCCGAACTTCGAGATTTTTAGTTTGGCCCAAGTCATTGTTTATTTTCAGTCCAATCCTAGCCATAAAACCGGCCATTGAGATTTTGTGATCATTTTGCCTTATAAAATTATTAATTCTCTTTTGATTGGAAAATTCAAATAATTCTAGTACGCTGTACGCATATGGTAATGGATCAACTTTTCCTTACCTTTTTGACCGTTTAGGAGGAGCCTTGATGACCTTAATTATCCAGTTAGGCTATGTTTTGAATGACTACACTATCCATTCTCTCCACTTGAGGGTTTTCTTCTCTCTACTGAGGGCCACATTCCTTCATCTGCAGGTACATTTTCCCCTTTCAATGGAGAATTAAGACCATTAAATGCTGCTAATCTCACTCCTATTTCTAGTTTAGATCTAGTCTGTCCTGTATTATGTGGTTTTCTTTTGGGGTTTCTTTTGTTTTCCTCCATTACCCACAGGTCTTAAGTTTCTTCTACTCGCACTTGAGCTCAATACCAGACTCAAATGGCAGAGGACGTTGCTGCCAAACTCGAATCATTTCAGTTATCGGAAAATGAAAGCACAGTTATTCCCATCATAACAAATGACATCTCGCATAGCACCGGAGAATGCGGACGCAGCATGTTAGGGAAAATCGTGGGAGTTAAAAAAGCGAGCTTGATTGGAATTACAAGAGCAGTTAACCAAATGTATAACCAAATGTGGCAGATCAAATCCCCAGTGACAGTCAAAGAAGTAGGCCCAATTTTTTTCCAATTCATATTCTCAGATAATTCAGACAAAATAAAAGTCAGTAAGGGGTTCAATTGGACCTATGAGAATCAATTTCTTATTCTTCGAGAATGGGCTGAGGTTCTCGCAGATAACCACCCAAGCTTCAATGAGATGGAAATATGGATCCAAGTGTGGAACTTACCGTTACACTGGCACTCAACTGACGTAGGGCTGAAATTGGGGAAAGGCTTCAAGCAGGTGCTGAATGTTAATTCCCAGTGGTGGTAATCTCGCAGGCAAATGCATCAGGCTTTTAGTGAGAATGGATGTCACCCTTCCACTTCTGAGATGTGCTAATGTGCAATTAGGAGACAAAAAGGTGATGGTGCAATTCAAATATGAGAGACTCACCAACTCTTGGTACTACTGCGGATGTATAGGCCATATTGATAAGTCATGTAGCAAGAGAGAAGAGGACATCATCAACCACACATGGTGAAGGAAGGGCTCTTTGGAATTTGGCTCAAAGCCACAGAAGGAGCACACGGAGCAACAAACTACTCTTCTACTTCTCAACCAGACATTAACATTGAACCTCAAACCCCTCTCCTGATCACTAAAGACCAGACTCAAATAAACCAAGCTCCCCCCTCCTCAGCCCTTACCAAGAATCCAACCAATCCTAAAGAAACTTCTCCTACCCCAAGAGAGCCAACCATAAAACCTCAACAGGCTCAAGCAACCCATAATACTGACAATTTCCCTCCCAAACACTTACACTCATCGCAACCTATAGACATGGATACAGAGCAACCAGAACCAAGTCCCCAAACCTCCCCATCTCACACAATCCAAACCAAACCTCTACCCCAAAATTCTCCCTTACCCCCAAACCCAATAATAATACCTTCTAGCCAAACCTCCATCTCTCAGCCCAAACCTGTGGAAATTAAATCTAAATGGATAAGGAGGAACCCAGTCAAAAAAAGTGAAGACACCAAATCTCCAAAAGGCTCCAGAACCAAAAGACACTTTGAGATTGGAGAGACACAGTCCCCAGAGGATGATGAAGAAAATGCTCAACTTGAACAACAGAAGAAGAAGCAGAAGCTGTATAATATTATGGTGGAGGAGGCCAGCCCTAATTGGCCCCCCAAGTCTCAATGAAGGTTGCAGTGTGGAATTGTAGAGGTGCGGGTGGCCCCTCTACAATTCCCCAGATCAAGGAGATATGGAGGCTCCATCACCCGAATTTTGTGTTTATTTCAGAAAAAAAAAAGACAATTTTCTTTTCACTGTTTGTAGAAGTCTAGGGGTTAGTAAGAGCTGGGCTTCTGTCGAACCAGCTGGCAGGAGTGGAGGGCTGCTCCTTTTTTGGAATCCCACAGTCCAAGTGTTCCAAATCATTAAAAACCAATTCAACATTCAAATCGAGTTCTGGGATGAAGAGAAGCAAGTTATATGTTGGGGAGTGTTCTTGTATGCCAGCACATATTGTGGAACCAGGAAACAACAATGGGAGTACCTTCTCTCCCAGAAGCATACCTGGGGCAAATACTGGTTCATAGGTGGTGATTATAATGACATCACCCATCCAGACGAAAAACGTGGCGGCAGACCAAGAACAATGTCCTCGTGTTCTCCTTTCAATAATTTTGTTAGTGATATGCAGATGGTTGAAGTCAGCTAGCAAGGATATCCTTTCACTTGGGGGAACAACAGAGACGGGGAAGGCTTCATTGAGGAGAAACTTGACAGGTTCTTCATGTCAATGCACTTATCCCAATTATACTCCTTGGCCAGGGCTACAAATATTTTCAGAAGCTCCTCCGACCACGGTCTCATCCTTTTAAATGGTGCGCCCGAGAAGTCGAAAGCCAGCAAAAGATTCTTTTTTGACAAAAGATGGACCGAGAAGGATATAAAAGAAATTGTTTCAAAAGCCTAGAGCATAAAAGCTGAGGGAACCCCTATGTTCAGCTTCACGTCCAAAATCAAGAACACAAGGATCGAGCTCCTTAAGTGGATTAGCACTTTCAAATCTACAAATGCCCTGAAAATTGAAACCATCAACAGAAATCTGGCTGCTATTAGAGAGCAAAGTGGTCTCAGAGATTGGAATCAGTGGGATCTCCTTATGAGAGAGTTGAATGAAGCTTACAGTTTTGAAGCTAAGTTCTGGGAGCAAAAATCCAGGGTGAATTGGCTTTAAGTTTGGAGACAAAAACAGCAAATACTTCCATGCCCAAACTGCTATCAGAAGAAAGCAGAACACAATCTCCAAACTAATTAGAGAAGACCAAACTGTCTGTGATTCTCATGATTCCATTTCCCATTGTATTGAGGACTTCTTCAATGAGCTATTTACTTCTGATGGATTTAAAGATGAGGACAAACTACTGCAAGGACTGAAGAAAGTCATTAATTCTGACCTCAACTCTGATCTGGTGGCTCAAGTGAGTTTAGAAGAAATAAAGGAAGCCGTCTTCAATATCAATCCCAATAAGGCTCCTGGACCAGATGGTATGGGTTCTCTCTTTTTCCATTTCTTTTGGACCTTGGTTCAATCTGATCTTTACTCTGCTGTCCTCAGTTTCTTTAGCTCTGGGAAGATTCTTAAATCTTGGAACCATTCTTTAATCACCCTTGTGCCCAAGTGCCCCAACCCTGTGTTGGTAGCTAACTTTCGACCCATAAGTCTGTGTAATGTGGCTTATAAAGTGATTTCCAAAATCTATATATATATAAAGATTTATCATTTTTAAAAAATAGCAGGTCAAATTTTGGTCAAAATCATTTTGCATTAATTACATTCTATTCTTAGTAATTTTTTTTTAATAAAAAAGGCAGCATTAAATGCTACCCATTAATTAAGGATTTTGTTATTTTGGTTTTCAACAAAACCATGAATGTTGTCTATTATTTGTGGCTGATGTTGTTTTATTTTTAAAAATCATGTTTAATAAAAGAAATAACTATATATTATCCTAAATTGTTGGATAATTAAATTGTCTTGTTTTGCGTCTTTACTTGCTTAATAAATTAATTAGTGTTGATTTAATACTCAGCTGGCCAAACAATTTTTTTATTTCAAATTAAGAAATAAAATGTATAACTGATAAAAAAAAAGAATTAAAATATTATGTATAGATAATATATTAATTATTTTACAAGCTAGCCCTAATATACAAGTGAAAAATATATGATAACTCTATTGATTTTTAGACTTAAACGAACAGAGTCGTCTGAAAATAATTCATTTAATATCTATGTCCCGTGCATTGCACGGGGTACGTACTAGTTCTTGCTAATAGGATCAAGCCATGTCTGCCTTTATGTATCAGTCCCAACCAATCTGCTTTTGTTGCTAATAGACAAATCATTGACAATGTTATTATTGCTCATGAGATCATCCATTTTCTGAAAAATCACAGAGCAGGTAAGTACTGTTATATGGCCATCAAACTGGATATGTCCAAAGCCTTTGATAGAGTGGAATGGGAAGGAGTGAGAATGGTCTTACATTATATGGGTTTTAATTCTACATTCATAAAGTGGATTATGTGCTGCATTTCCTCTCCCTCTTTTTCTTTCAATGTTAATGGTGATGTGTGTGGTTATATCTCCCCTTCAAGAGGGATTAGGCAGGGAGACCCCATCTCCCCCTACATTTTCATTCTTATCTCTGAAATACTCACACATCTCATTAACTCTGAAGTCTCTGTAGGGAATTTTCATGGAATCCAAATGAA